TCACCAAAGGTGTATGTTGGTCCTTGGTTAGTGTGTATTTGTTGGGAGTATAATCTCTGACTCTTGAGCTAGGTGGATGATAAGAACTATAAGACTCAATCTGCTGCCAGTTTAACACAATACAGGAGCGGATTCTGTGCTGAGTGATGAACTGAGATTGAAGTTTTGAGTTGCCTTGGGAGATTGCGTAGTGATAGTGAAGAGAGTGTGTTTTGACAGCTTTATGCTCCCTGGTAACTACTGCTGCTCAGCGTTGTATGCTGTAAATACGACGTTTGGAACTGTAGTGCACGGTGGGTAGACAGGCGAGGCATTTCAATGTGCAGCCGACCAAGGTCGCAATTTAATGTTATAAATGAGTCCACGCCTTTACAGGGCAGGAGAGGTCACACAGGAGCCAGGGTCACTAAATCAGAGGCTGTCTGAGAGCGAAAACAAGTTTATAAAATGCAGCAGGAAGACGTACAGGTCAAAGAGGACAGTGGAAACATTAATGGAAAGCAGTGATGACTCGCTCTTGGCATGGAGTTTTATAGCCTTTTTCTTTAAATGGATGACCGTCGTGTATGGAGTTAAAGAAACTGCTTGGTTTAGTGAAGTTTGATATTATTGAAGTGTTTTTTGAGCAGTGGGTTGGACTGAAAATCAAAAGCTTTTATAACTTAAGATGTTTTTTAAATGTCGAAACAGGTAAAACAGAGTGAATAAAATGAAAAGATCACTATCTAAGTTTGAATAAGGTTTTATTTCAGAATTTGATTTCATAACTACAAAATGTGTAAAGATACAGAAGATGAAATTGGAAATTTCTTGACTTTTTATTAACATTGAGAAAACTAAAAAAATATTTGTAAATAAAAATGCAAACAAACTTGAGTTTCAGCTTTCTCTTTATATTTTGTAATATTAGCTCTTGGTCAGTCAAAGAAACTATAAGACAACACATAAGGCGAGAGTAAATTATGTTTTTTTTATGTGCCTTTTTTAAATGTTCTTTCAAAGTAATCAATAGATGTTTTCACATCTGAAGATAATCCTGAGGCGTTCTCACATCAGCCCACTCGGACTTGTATCAAAAAAAATACCAGGGGTGTGGAAGGAGAAACTCCGGGTGAAGTCCGAGCGAATACGTTGGCTGTTTGCGTTCACACATACAGCTCCTCAGGGAAATATTTCCCTGAGGAGCTGTATGTTTTTTCAGGAGATTTCTGCAAGTGTGAAAGCCCTTAATAATGATTAGAAACCATTATAATAAAAGATTTGCTAGGTGCAGAATAGGTCATGAATGGATTAAGACGGTTACATGAGTAATGATAGCTAAACAACCACTTTAAAGAAGTGCCATCTGAGACCTGGCCTTTTTAGAATATAACACAATGAGATAAGTAAAGTACATTCTACAGTATTAGACAGAATAATCTCCAAACCATCACAAGGACTTTTTAGCTTCATGCATGGTAATACATTTTGCAAATGCAATTTAAAAAAAAAAGCAATGACCTTTCAGTTGATGACTTTAAAGCAGTAGTTAAAGTGAACTTTTCCTCTGCTTAATGTCAAACTGGGGTTTCATCCAAACTCATAACTTTTACAACTCCGTACCCTCTGCAGCGAAAAATCGTCATTTCTCGCTTGTGATGGAACAAGACTTTGAAAGGCATTGTGGTGTCCTTCAACATTATGTCTGAACAAGTGTGTGTGAAACCTGATAACATCCCACAGAGGGTCAGAGCTGGCCGAGCCGGGCCGCGCTGGCACCGCCACCGCCACTGGCTCTGCGATTAAGCCACGGGAGCCATTTTGGGGCTGATTATTCATGGTGCTATACTGTACTGATGTTCCACTACACTGAGTTCTCTCATTAGGTCATCCGGCTCGAAAGGGCCATTAAATTTTCAGTCAGCATGAATAAGTCAGAGAGTTCTGCCTCTGATCATGCAGTGCGAAGAGTCCCCAAACTCATCATAGGTGCTCTTAAAAAAAAAAAAAGAAAAGAAAATTTTAACTTTCAGCACAGGGGAAACATTTACTCAATTAAATATGGGAGAAGAGCAGGGGTTGGCAGTAGTGTAGTTTTTTTTTTTTTTTTTTTAGATTTAAAGCCTAGCATGTGGTGCCAGACAGCATTTCCAGAAGTATCGATCAGAGTTTCGCTGTGGGTAAATGACTCCCAATGGGATCTCCATGGTAACAGGAGCAGTGCCAAACAGCCAAGTGTCTAACTGACTTAATGCAGATATAAATCGCCATTCCAATCAAGGCCGTTTTATTTGCGGGCTGGAGCGAGGCAATACGTCACCCGCGGCACTGCGCCTTTTCCTTCAATAAAATCCTGTCAAATCCGCTGAATGCATGCTGCATTGATGACACATGATTTATAATGTTTACTTCCAGGGAAGGGTATTTCTAGCACAATGGGGAGCAAACAAGAAGTTGATAACAGTCAACATTTCAGCTCACAGGCTTCCTACAAATATAGATTTTTTGCATTAATTATGATTAACTTGCAGATGGCGGGTTGTGTGAGTGACAAACAAATATGCAGGATTTTGATTTCTGACTACGTTGACAATTAACATGTAGCAGCCACGTTGGATTTTAGCTCAGGTTACTCGAGTCTCTCCCGAGTTTCCAAGTCAGACTTCTGACTTCAGGAAACATTCCTGATGATGTACAGACTGGCAACTCGGAATTTCCGACTTCCGAGATCTAAAGTAACACACTCCTATAGTGTCACCTTGAGTCAGGGGAAAACAATTTCCCTTTAGCTGGTCCTGGATGTTTAAAAGGTTTAATCTGGGGAAGAATGATCTGTTAGCCCAGCTCACTTTTTTTCCTGATATTTCAAAGAATACTGGATATGAACAACATCATGTCCATTTACAGGCTTTTATAGATGACCAAATCGGGATTACCGTCAGAGCTCTAAATGCCACAACATAATACGTACTCTATCTACAGGAGGCGCCCAATTCCACACAAACCTAAATGTCCTGACAGTTTCTTTTAATGAAATATTGTGTGTCAGTGATTAACAACTGCTTGGTGAAATATATTACAGCAATGCAAGTGCACAATATAAAACATGTCTAGAGTATCCACATCATTGTAAAATCTGCTTTGTTCCTGTAATTTAGCTTGAATTCAGCCCTCTGCTGGGTTCAGCATAGTCCGTATTTTTCAGATCACAGTTACCCCAATCCTATTGAAATGTTATGAACACAAACCGGAAAATATATCCACACATAAAAGCCAAGATCCAATCTGATAGTTCTCATTCAGTCAGATGACATTTGGTGCCCTGGAGTGAAATGAGACTCAATTATGTTTAAACAAAATAATACTGAACTCAATTTAGCTTTTTAAGAGATCAAATAAAAAAAGATAGTGTTAATGAAATCAGTAAATGAAACATTTATCTTGGACTTTACACAACAGAAACATTTTTAAAGGGTGAATTTCTCAAAAATATCAAATCATACAAACAGTGATTACATGAATGAGAGTAATGTGTGTTTTCCTCATCGTTTACGTGTCAACTATAACTTGAGTTGAATAACAATTTGGAAATGGCGAAAGGAAGGCTCCATGACAAACGGGTATTTCTCAAATCGGTGGGAATAAACAGGAAGTTGGTAACAGTCGACTTTTAGAGTTGTTCTTTATAGCTGATAAAAAAAGTATTACGCTTCTCAGCGCTCCATCCATTGGTAAGGTAAAGTGGTATATTCAATTAACATGGATGAAAAATTAACACCTGTTAGAGCTTCGATATATGCCTTCAATAGATTACAACCCAATGCTTTCCAGCAGATTGTTTAGATTAGTCTAAGAAGGACGTATTAAACTAAGTGAAAAGCATGCCAAATGAACCTCCTAATGCAATCAGCTAAATACTTCAAATTGAACCATCAAGAGGAAATATATGAAGGAGAGGGAAATGATCTCGACAGCAGCGTGTTTGTCGGTAGGTTGAGCCCTGTATGCAATAGAAAAACATTTTTATTGGTGTTTGCTGGCGGCCAGAAAATGACCCGGGAAAACAAAGACGAATGGAGCCATTGACTTCAAATACGACCCCTTGAAAGCAACAGCCAGAGCCCTCTCCAATCGCCATCTATTATATTCATGAGTGTGACCCGCAGGGGGCTCGAGGGGGAGGTGAAAGGCGCCCACCTGCTCCACTCAGCATCTAAGACACTGGCTGCCAGTAGATCAAACAGGCCTCCTCGCTCCCCTCTGTTCTCCTCCTCTCTCCCCGGTACAAGTCCCATATAGGAGATGACTGACCCACTTTTCCTCGCTCCCTCTGCTATTACCTGGAGAAAATAGACTGATATGATGTGTGTGTGTGTGTGTGTGTGTGTGTGTGTGCGCGAGTGTGTTGGGAGAACAAAAGCTTCTCATCTTCACTTACTGTACAGAGATGAAGGCATAACTAGGACTCCAAAGAAAGCATGTGATTTCTTATCAAGTGCTCTTGCATGTGAGATTGTCTCTCTAATGGCGTGTCACGGCCTAGTCAGTGTTTTGCTCGTGTGCTGCAGCAGTCGGTGTTAACTGAGCGCACTCGCACGCAGGGCATTAACAAGGGGGATCTCATCGGGAGGGCAGCGTTGATTCGAAACCAACTAGACACGAGACAAATTTGCCAAACAAATGGATAATTTGCCAAACACTGCAGGCCCAAATGAAAGCAGAGGTACTGCATAAATTCCAGCGTGCTGGTGTAAATTGTTTACAATCCTCGGGGCTTTATGGAAGGTAGAGCCATCGCTCATTGTTTTCACAGGATTAGATTGATATTGATTGACTCTGACAGCCAGCATCACGATACTTAGTGCGAGTGACCATTTCTCGTTCACCCTGCTTTGGCTCTCCCTCTGTTGGCTCTTTTTGTCAGACGTCTTGCCGCCTTCCCTTTCTGCCTGACTTATATTACCCTTATAACATGTTCCAATTTTGATGTTCCCTTAACTCTCGGTCTCCTTCCCTTGCAGACCTCACATGGTGACAGAGTACATGGGCATCAGGAATGAAAGCTTCATGAAGATTGCTGCAGTGGGAACCTGGATGGGAGACTTTGTCACTGCTTGGATGGTGAGATTACAGCTCTTGTGTGTCCTTACCATTAAACAGTCTAATTGGCATACGTGAGATGAAGAGAGATTCAGTTATGCTGCGCTCAAGCCACATATTTGATTTTGAATTCTTTCTGAATGGAAAAGCATACTTCCAACTTTTAAGGCATGCTGGCCCGATGGTAACTTGCAGATTTTCATTGTTTGTTTTAAGATAACGTTTCATTAAAAAAAACTATTCCTCACATTTAACAATTCCACGTTCCACCATGATGAATAAATTTTGTGGTACTGAATGAAATCTTTTTCTTTCCTGTTAGATATATAACTTTTTTTTTTATTTCAAAGAGGGCCAGATTATTGGATGTTAAATATTGTCCTAATGCAAACAGCCATTCAGGAACTTGGACTGTGATTAGGAGAGTTATTGGTTGAATCAACAAATATGGGAGAATATTTATAAGGGGCGCAGGTGGCCGAGGTGTACAGAGGCTGTAGTCCTCAAAGAGGTCAGCCCGGGTTCAAATCCAACAAACGGCTCCTTTCCCGCAAGTCATTTCCCACTCCCTTATTTCCAACTCTATCCATTATACTATCTTTTCATTAAAGTCATAAAAAGCCCCCAAAAAATCTTTAAAAATAAATATATTATTAAGATTTCAACTGTAAACGGTAAATAACAGTTCTTGTACTAGCTGTGATGTCACTGATTGCTTTATGATCTAGCAGTTTAAAGACTAAGGTTTGGCTTTTAGTTTTGTTTTTTGGAGCTAGAGGTGACCATTTCTGGGCCGGGGGTAGATACACATTGATACACATCTATACAGATTACTAAATCACACTTTAGGGTACTGACAAATCATAAGAAAGCCACATCCTTAACCAAAAAACACACCTTGCTTTCCTTTTCTTTTTCTTTTTATTTAACAAGAAGCAACAATAAGTTGGTTATAGCTGGTTGTTAAAAGATCAGAGGGGTTTAAAAGCACTTCTGCATTTGATTTCTCTTTTAAACTTGAGGATGAGTCCATTTTTAAAATATATATGATGGCATGACCAGACAGTGATAGTTTGATCTCTTTTCACCCATGTGAGTTAAAGAGAGTTGCAAACTTGCCAAACACTTGCATGCTAATGGACTGAAAGATTTATGGCACAACTTAGCATGTAAAGATCCAATTAATGGGTCATTGTTAGCACATAAGCATGCTAAATTAAGTTCAATTTTTTTATGGCATTCAAATAATGTATGGCAGCATCACATAATGGCAACATAAATGAATAGTGTACATTTATGAACAGGCTTCTTTTTTGCATGCACTAAAGACGTATAGGACTACAAACATGGCTACTTTAAGCCATGTTTTCAGCTCAAAAGTCCGTACCCTTTGTCTATTAGAATCATAGAAGATACAAAGTGTAGCCATTCTTCACACATCCCTTATTTCTAGGTCAGGCGTATCCTCTAAACCTTATAAGACGGACACTTAAAGCCATCTGTGTCCATCCAGTGCAATCTACTACCAGACCCCAAGAGTACCATGCAGTTTGATCTATGAAGGGTCAGAGGAAACAATGAATGCACAGGGAGGAACCGAGTGTGTTGGAGGAGAAACCTTCCTCTGTTCATTTGTCAACACAAAGTGCGGAGGAGAGCTCCAGCGGGAGTGGACTACCTGTGGTGGGAGGAGTGGGGCTCTGACACCGGCATGTACACGGCTGAGACAACTTGACAAGCTCCTTCACCGGTCACATTAGTATTCTACAGTACACACTGCAGAGAAAGAGAGCGGCTGGAAGGAGAAGCAGGATTGAGGAAGGGGGAGGAGGAGGATGAGGATGAGGAAGGGAGGTAAGGAACAGAGGTGAAGGGGAAGTGTAGAAGTCTGGTCGGAAGGGAGACGTGGGATGCAGTGGGGGAGAAGAAGGTAAATCAGGGAGACGAAGGCGTGTGTGTTAGAGAGAGAGGGAAACTCGGCCATGGCAAAGTGCTGATTCCAGAAATTACTCACAAGGTTTTTTTTTTTTTTTTAACATTCGATTAATTCAACAAGGCTCTTTGAAGATGACCTCTGTGTCTCCTCCGCAGGACAGATTTACAGTGGGTCTTCACTCCATGAATGAACAGGATGTGTCTGTTTTTGAAATGCTGCATCACCAGAAACATCCTATAGATCGCCTCATTCAAATTCTTTCTCAACTCCAGCTACAGTATCTGCAGTGAGGCGCTTTATTGACAAACTGACCTTGCCTCTGCAGCAGCTTTACACATAACTGATAGCTGTGTGTGGATTTTTATGCACAGGCATAAAACGCCCCACCGATACAACTCTGCACTAGTTAAGAAATTTGACCATTAATGACTATAAGTGACATTTAGACTGACAGTGAGGGCGGGGAAACGACAGGAATGTTCAAAACATTCAAATGAAACAAAACAATATTTAATGTAGATACACACTCAATAGTAATCAATCACAAATGTATTTATTTATCTATTTATTGTAGGGCTTTAAACGATTACATTTTTTAATCGTAACTAATCCCAAAACTTTGATAGTTAATCGTGATTAATCACATTTTTAATGGCATCTTTGAAATTCCATTACCCATTTAAAAAATAAAAAATAGTTTTATTTTGAATTTTTGTACTGTCTTAAGATGAGACTACTTTGCTTTCAGTTTGAATTCAACCCTGCTTTTATTTTGAAATATAGAAAGGACCTCCTGGTAAATTTAATGTTACGACATTAACTTAACTACAGCAAAAGAAACTTGTGACGGATCAAAAACTAAATGAAAACAGCTAAAAGGAATAATGAAAGTGTAATGTTTGACGTCATGAGGTGGATATTACTTTTCACTCATCAACTGAGCTGTCTACAGTTTTTAAATTGAAATGAGACGTTCAAAGACCCAGCAGTGTCGTTTCTTCCATCATTGTGACTACAGGGAGACGCTGGGGAGGCCTGCGCGATGAGTGTAAAGGGACAAAAAAAAGAGTGTGATTAACTGCGATTGAAAAAATGAATGCATTAATTTCAGACCTTAATAAATTGTGATCTCAACCTCTTCTAAACACATATAGCTTCTCTTTTGAATTCCTACCAAACCCTAAGGCTTTTAAAGCGATACCAAAAAGGCCAAGAAGTAGTCCAGCACCCCCCCCCCCCCCTCCCAAAACCAAAAGTTGCAACTATTATGCTTTGCTTTTTTGCATTGATTAAACAAACAAGTCATAGTCTAGTGGAATTGAAAGTTGAGCTTCAGAGGTGCTGGTTGGAAAATGTTGTGACTTTTGTTCAGTAAACTAAGTTGTTTGCCCCTCTCCCCTCAGATTTAATGCCAAGGTAAGTTAAGGAATACTAAACCTTTTTTTATTTTACAAACTTTAACAATCCCGAATGGGGACATTCTGGTTTACACTCAGTTATTGAGAGACATACTTCTCACACACATAGGCCTGAAATACATGCACAAACAAGTTCTGTGGACATGCATACATGGAGAGATGTCAGAAACCCTTTTCACAAATACGGAAATCTCCTGAAAAACTCCGGAGATTTGGCTACCCGGAGGGGCTTTAGGCTATGTGTGAACGCAAACAGACGCATTTTTCGCACAGACTTTATCCAGAGTTTCTCCGGCCACACCCCTAGTATTTTTTTTCCACAGAGAGTCAGAGTGAGCTGATCTCTGAACGCGGCCGAATATACTCCGGAGATTTCAACTCCAGCCAATGGGAAGACAATGACATTTATATACAGTGACTGCCTAAAGTGTCAGCACGCGACCACTACGATCTCCGTGCACGTAATTAAACATCTGCATTATGTTTTCTGTTCGTCAGTATGTTGTTCTCCTCTCTTTTGTGGATGTTGTCATTCCATTGGATTACACATAGCATTGATATAAAGGCAAATATTCTCATTATAACGTCGTGTAGCGGACACTGTTGCTTCGGCCGCTACTTCCACGTTGTTTATTTACGTCACGTCTTACCTCAGGAAATCCCCCGAGCCCCCTCCCCTCTGACAGGGATAGTCCCCCGCTGTGAGGAGCATATGTCAACGGCTAGGTCGGGAGAATCTCCAGAGCTGTCCTCATCTAATTATCTAGATATTATCCGGAGTGCATATGTGAAAACGGCTAGAGTGGGGTTGCTATACACTGCTATGCAGGGAGCGGACCACAGCTGTTGGGGGTTAAGTGCCTTGCTCAAGGGCACCTCGGTAGTACTCGGGAGGTGCTCTGACATCTCTCCAACTACCAGACCAACTTCCGTATTCTTTGGTTCCTTGAAACGGCAACTCTCTGGTTCCCAACCCAAAGCCCTACAGACTGAGCTACTGCCGCCCCCATTACATCCAGTCATAAGTCATTTAGTTTTTCTTTAAAGCATGTTCCTTTCTGCAGGTGACAGACATGATGCTCCAGGATCAACACTACCCAGACTGGGGCAAAGCAGCCAGAAGGTTCTGGAAACAAGGCAACAACAGGATCGTTCTCTTCTGGTACATTGTCACATAACATGTTTATCTTTTCCTGCATGTATACAATTCCATATCAATGTGTGTGTTCTCACCCCCCCCCTCCCCCACTACTAGCATCTATAATGCATTTTTATTTTCCTGCAATGCTCTGGAGACATGTGTGTGTGGTTGTGTGGCGCATGCATATGTGGTCTCTCTAGCCCAGTTGCAGCGTAACACGCAGTCAATAGCCGTGTTAATCTTCCCTCACTCAGTGTCAGCACCTTTAATTAGAGGAACAGGGTGAAAAATCAATGGACACAGCAAGGTCGCGGGGTAAGACCACGGCCCTGCCTTTTACTTCTCGTACCACACACTGTGACCCTTAAATAACTGCTAAACAAACGCTGCACACCATGTCTGATACGCCCATTACAAGAGGGCCAAGTAGGAGCGTTCCCTGTTTAGATGTGTTACACCACCACCGAATGATCCCAGTGGTACTTATTCACAAAACGTGCTGTCAGTCAGATACGACATGCAAAAGGCCTCTCTAGTGGTTCAGTCTAGGGTCACAGGAAGAGGGGAAGGACATGTGAAGAGGAGGATACGGTTGACGCATTTTGACATCTGTTTGATATGTGCACAGAGAGCTCAAGACACTGACATCGCCATGTCTCATGTTTTTGCGGAACTGAATCACCTGCGATTAGAATGCAAGCAGGCAAATTATTCCACGACTTCTTTCTGCAGCCCTCCAAATTATTGATGGACGTCCCGACTCTGCACTGTCACAATCGATTCCCCCGATTTGACGAGCGACCGTTTGAAATTCAGAGCTTGGAAAATGATTGTTTAATGTGTTGCTGCTTGTGTTTTCGTCAATATTCACTGAAGGGTCGTGGCAAATTGTAAAGGACTGCGGCAACAAAAAAAAAAAGTCGTCCATGCTGGAGGAAAAAGACTCCCACTGTGGAATAATAAAAACCCTAAAAAATGTGTCTCTGTAGCTGCTGGAATGGGACACAAGCTGGCAGTCAGTGTCTGCAATGCAGCCAGCTGATGGTGTGGAGTGAGAAAACGCACAACAGCGCAGTAATCACTGGGTGACATTGAGACAAACTAGCCTTTGTCAATGTGCCTCGCTTCAGACTGCTGAGACTCCTTTCCCAGAAAGCATTGAACGCAGAATGACAGCAATGCGACCTCAAAGAGTGTTATTTAACGCAGAAAAAAATATAGCACTCATTGCATGCTGGTAGAAATGTTTTATTATATCTAAAAAATATATATGTAAATACGTGGAAATATGCCTGCAGTATGGCTCTGAATTGCATTTTCTCTGCATCTACAAACTGACAGTTGTTTCTATATATTCATCTTCTGCAGAGCTTTATCTGCTGCCATTTTTCAAACCCCGCTAAAATTGTTGTTCAATACATTATTGAGTCCATGAAAAGGAGGAACGGAAAAGCACTTGATTTATTTTTTCTTGCACTTCACATGGACGAGGAAGCAGAGCTGTTTGTCTTCCAGGATACGCAAAATGAACTGCAGCTCATCCAGTCTGACATGATACAGCAGGAACATTAGATTTATATATAGTTCTTTAAAGGCCTTTACTTTTCTGTAATGTACGCAATCCTCTTTCTTCTTTCTCTCACCGCTTTTTACCTTCCTTTCTCCCCTTAATTTCCTCTGCCACCTTTATAATTTCAATCCTTTTATCTCCTCCTGCCTTTCCTTTCCTTTATCCCCTACTTTCCATGCTTTTCTCCTCCCCTCCCCCACCCCTTCTTATTTCCCCCTCCTTTTCTCACCTGACCTTTCCTTACACATTCTTCCATCTTCTCCTCTTTCCATTTTTCACCTTTCGTCCCTCCTCACTTCACTTTCTACCCTCCTTTTATTCTCCATTACTTCATTTTGACCTCTTTCCTACACTCCTTATACCCACTCCTTTTATTTCCTCTCTCTACTAATTCATGCCCTCTGTCCTTCCTTCCTTACTCTCCTTGTCTTTTTGTTTTTCTCTTATCCTCACCTCTCCTGTCCCTCCTTTTCTTATTTCCTGCCATCTTTCCTGCCCTCCTTTCTCTATTTTAATTTTCTCTCTTTCTCTCTACCTCTCCTTCATTTTCTTTTCTTTTCTTCTCCCTTTCTTTCTTCCTCCTTCCTTGCTTCATTTTCCTCTCTTTTTTATTCCTGCGTTCTTTCCTGTCTCCTTTCCTCTCTCGTCCCCTTTCTTTCCTTTTTTTCTAATTAATTCCCACTCTTTACCTGCCTTTCAATTGTTTCATTTTCGTTCTTCTCATCTTCACTCCACCCATTTCCTTTTTGTCCTCTCTTTTTCTTCACTCTCTTCCCATTGTGTACATGCTATCTATTTTTTTTCCTTCCCTGGATCTTTTGTATTCTCTCCTTCATTCCCCTCTACCAATTTCACCCTGTACTCTTTCTCATCTTCTTCCTTATCCTCTCATTTCCTTGTTCTTCCTGCTCTTCTTTCCTCTATTCTCATGACCTTCCTTTTCTCTCACATTCCTACCCTTAATCCTACCTCCTTCTCCTCATTACCTCCATTTTCCTCTTCTTCCTCACCTTCCATCCTCCTTTTCCTCCCGTCCTTGTCTCCTGTCCCCTCCCTGCAGGACAGTGCTCATCTCTCTGACGTCGGTGGTGGTTCTGGTCATCAGCACGGACTGGATCAGCTGGGACAACCTGAACCGCGGCTTCCTGCCCAGTGACGAGGTCTCCCGAGCCTTCCTGGCCTCCTTCATCCTGGTCTTCGACCTTCTCATTGTCATGCAGGTAGGCCGCTCTCTTGTGGCCAATTAAAACCAGGGAGCTGGGACGCCTCTTGGCTTTCTCTGCTACCCATCATGCCAGCACCCCCCTCCCTCTTTATTCACCAATGGGGCACTGCGGCACAGAGCAGCGAGATTGGGGTGTTTGATCGCTGTCAGATGGCACGGACACACACACACACACACACACACACACACACACACACACACACACACACACAAAACAAATATATAGTTAGAACAAACTGTTGTTTACTCCTTTACATCTTTTTTTAGTCCCTGCATCCCTCTTTTCCCAGACCTCAACCCTGATCTTACCCCCCTCCCTCCCTCCCTCCCATCCCTCCCCTGTGAGCTTAGTTTATTTTCTTTAATGATGACTCATGAGATATTTTTTAAGAGTTTTCTCGCTTTCTCCCCCCACCTCCTCTCTCTCCTTTTTTTTTTTTTCCCACCCAATGTCCTCGCTCCCACAGGAGAGCGTGCATCAATAAACCCTGTGTCAGTGGCTCATGAATATGCAAATGTGTTTGTCTGGGCAAAAAAAGCACACAACTGAGAGAATGAGAGAGGGAGAAGGCTTTTTTCCTTTCCTTTCCTTTTTTTTTTTTTTTTTTAACACCACTAGCCAGGAGCCAGAACCGCAGGCCAATCATGTATGTGGTTTGATTGCGGGCCTAATTCAACACGGCTCCTCCAAATACGTAACAAGCATATTTTGTTGGTGCGTATTAGAGGACACATTTGAAGCCTAATTCAGTATTTGGTTAAACTCTAAATATATGTTCCTCCTCTGTTAATTATGCTAATTACAAAGAGCTCCAAATTGCATTCTCTAGTGATACAAATGCACCAGACCACAGGAATCTCGCAAGCACACCACTATATTTACCATGGTGATGTGTATTAGTACAACAGTAGCACGAGAAGTGTTCCTAGACTTACTTATTGAAACAATTCATTATTTTAAGCAGGGCCTCCAGCTGCTCTGGCCAGTAATTACTTCACTCTGTGCTGTTTTTCTCATTTATTCACCCAATTATTGCGATTATGCAGATATATAGAAAGAGCTCAGCCGACAGTGTGCGCACACTTCCTCACAAACATGCAGGTGTGTTTCTGAGACCAGCATTTTGTTTTCCCCTGCAAAAGCCTGAGACCTGATGTGACATGAAGGGCACGCTCCCTGTTTTGACATCTCTGTTTTACTTCTTTCCGAGCCAGCCCGGACCCGCCGCTCCCTCTCCATTTAACTCAGCGGTATATCATTCGCTCTCACATTCGCATGGATCTGTTTACGACGGGCCTTTCTCATTTTCTGCCCAGTGTACAGCAAGCACGTTTTACTACAGTTATTTATGAGTGGACTTCAGGCTGCATGGTGACACGGCCTGGACACTACCGGCCGTCGCTGTGTTCCACCAGTCGATAAAAATGCACCCACTTCAGCCCACCCGACAGCTTCATCCCCCTCCATGTTGGAGCACAGGGTGCCATAGCTAATCCCTCGCCTCCATGAGAAAAGATGGGTGTTGTTGTTCACAAACTAATTAATGCCCCAATTAATGACCTGTCTGGATTTGCCTTCAAGCTGGGTTTAACTTTTTTTCATAGTTTTTGGAATAATTGCTCTGCATTTTCCCAGCTGAATGTCAGATTCCACTGTGTCCTTTGTGTAAATGCATATACACATTTACATACATGGATGATAAGCTGATGTAACCTGCCCATTTACCGTTCTTATGTTATGGAGACTCATTATTTTGCGGGAAGGGAGGTGCACGGCTTAAAATGTCATGCCTGTTAGTGCTACAGCAACAGATACTGCCGCCATGGAAGAGGAGTGGAGGACTTAATTAATATCCAGGGGGCCATCACCGAGCTGTTATGCTGTTCAGAGATACCGGCATGGGAGACTCCGGATCACATGAGGATATTGTGAATGCAGACATGCAGTAATGTGATGCAGCGAGTGCAAATCACAGAGAACCGAGGGGAAATGTAGCTAATCTAAAAATGAAAACGCTGAAATTGTGTGCGCCTTGTTTTCATTCCTGGAATAGAAATGACAAGTTAATTTGCAAGATGATTAAGTCAGCTCAATAGAAAGAAGTATTTTTAAAACCTCTTCTCCACCTGTCCCGGCATGTGCAATCATAATTACATCATATTGTTGTATTAAGTTACTTTTTAGGTGTAGGACTTTTTTTTTTCCTCATTAGAGAGTATAAAGTCATTCTTAACAGGCCCCAGACAAGATGCAGCTCAGTATTTCTCAGCAATTTAAGACAGTACATAATCTTTTGATTTTGTTTATTTGCTGTCACATTAATAATAGGAAGGGTTAACGGTTCCTTCGTGGGTTGACTGTTCAAACCAAAACTCTTTTTTTGTTTTGCTGAAAAACAAATTGTCAGGAAGCTGATCATAAAGTTTTTTTCTAGCTACTGAAAAGTTCATTGTTTTGGCAGCACAGGGTGTTCACAGCCTAAGAAAGAAAGACATGCAAATGAAGTTCCTCTTGCCAACTCTAAAAAAAAAATAAAAAAAAAAAAAAAAAACATTTCTTGAGTTCAATTTCTTAAACTATTTGCATGTCGAGCACATTAAGAGTTCGTCGCTGCTTTCTGCTGAAAGTCACAACCCCCAAAAATACGACCACATAGATTCAGTAAAGAGCAAAGTGACAGCACAGGGCACGTTCGGCTTATAAATGTCAGGTTCGGGTGCCTGTTGATGTGTTATGACATGTTTAAGTCCCTGTGCACATCAGTACACTCCACAGGCCTGTAAGCCTGTGTAGTCTGCAGTCTACAGTCTGTCACCCTGTTTGACCTGCAGCTGGCTCATGTAGAGACTCCACAGAGAATTGATATCAGCTAATATGGGAAAGTTCAGTGGAGTGTTCAACATCCACTACAGCATGATACGCGCTTGGCATTTGTCATGCTGATGTGGTAACGTAAATGTGTTCCATTTTCTACAGCTGAGGCTACATTATCAGAGTCAGAAGCTGAATCTAAATGTGTGTGTGTGTGTGTGTGTGTGTGTGTGTGTGTGTGTGTGTGTGTGTGTGTGTGTGTGTGTGTGTGTGTGTGTGTGTGTGTGTGTGTGTGTGTGTGTGTGTGTGTGTGTGTGTGTGTGTGTGTGTGTGTGTGTGTGTGTGTGTGTGTGTGTGTGTGTGTGTGTGTGTGTGTGTGTGTGTGTGTGTGTGTGTGTGTGTGTGTGTGTGTGTGTGTGTGTGTGTGTGTGTGTGTGTGTGTGTGTGCGTGCGCGTGTGTGTGTGTGTGTTTCAGGACTGGGAGTTCCCTCACTTCATGGGCGACCTGGATATGAATCTACCAGGAATGTCAACGACGCATGTGAAGGTCAAGCTGCCTGTCTGCAAGAGTATCTTTAAAGAGGAGTACCACATCCACATCACAGGTACGGACTGACCCCTGAGCAGACGCTGCAGACAAAGAAACAGGGACATGCCATTGTTTTGCCATTGTTTTTGTTTCTTTTTCTCTGAAGTTCTTCACTGAGTAAACTTACACCCACATTCATAAACTGATTCGATAGCAGAAAGGAATCAAAATGTCCATGAGGCATGCGGAACTTTGACCTATTTCTGACTTGTTTCCACCAAGCCTCCCCTGCTCTAGTTTCCATTTCCCTGCATGTGGGAAACACTTTGATGGTTCAACCACAGCAAACATTTATAATAAATGTGTAGCTCATGAGGCACACAAGGTGGCTTCACCGTTCCTTGTGTTCCTCCCTGTCGTACCAGACATCATCTTTCACATCTCCGTGTCTGGATGTACTCCATGAGCGAGTACATTTCTCCCCAGTTCAAACCACACCCCCCCCCATGTTTCTCCATTTTGTTCAGCCTGCGTGCACACGGCAACTCGCGCCTATAAAGACATGGCAAAACCAATATTCCGATGCTAAATGTTGAGCGGTTCAAACGCTCAGTGATTCGCAAAAGGTTGTTAACCCTAATGCATTGCATATCCATTAAGCATTATGGAAATGGCTCCGGTGTGACGTGATTGGTTTAACTAAAAGCTTATTAACTGCATATCTCTACGAGAGGCAGGGGGAGCGGTGTCACGTATCCCTGTGGAGACATCTGCCTGCGATCAGTCAACCTGGGGAGATGCTTGTCTCATGGTAATGTAGTGATCTTGTTAGATGATACTATAAGGGAAGTAGCACCTGCAAATGGATCTATCTGTCTCCATGCATGAGCTGCATGTAAATGAACGGGGGCCCGCTGATAAATTAACTTGACGGCATATTTGTCTGTCTGACTCCGCCTCCTGAGTGTTTTTTTGGAGTAGACTTTGGACGTTCATCACTCTGTCTGCCTATGTTTCATTATCTGTACAATGGAGTTGTTCTGATAGTATTTTTCCTTCCCAATAGCCGTTATGAGATCTTGAATTGGATATCAATGGATATCAAGTACTCCTCAATTATTGTTACGCGATGATTCACCTGAAACAAGTTGAGTTTTTTGTAAGGTAAAATTGATTTTAGTAACAGATCAGTATTGGTGGATATACTCACCCCATACCCCCATTTAAGGCAAGTATGGGTCCCATACGGATAATGGTATCCACGTCACTGGACTGGAAAGCCAAAGCCGTCTTTAAGTAGGGCCTGAGCCGCCTCCACTTCCTGGGGAGGTTGAGATCCTGTAACATCTGCAATCTTTCCAAATTGAACCAGCACTCCACAAGGTTTCTTTACTTAATCGTAAACCACAGTTCTTTAAATGTGTGACTGTGACCTAATGAGGGATTGAATCTGTTAAAGTATGGAGCTGCCAGCCTGCTCCGCGTCACTTTGTTTCACAGCACGTTTTGTGCAGAGAAGCGACCGCTTGCGATACACAATGAATGGAGGCCAATTTTGAGGTCACCTGCAGTGATTGATAGTGGTGGCTGCACTTGAGTCGTGACGGCACATGTCTCTGTATTTTATACTGGTATATTTGTCCCAGCAGTATAAAGGACACAGTCTACTTATAAGATGGAAAAAAACGGTATGAACGGTGCACCTCATGGGGCGATGATGGTGGTTGGTGTGTGCCCCATGTGCGGAGGCCGTGGTCATCCAGGTGGGCGGCCCGGGTTAGAGTCCGGCTGATGGTTCCTCTACCGCATGTCGTTCCCCACTCTCTCTCCCTGATTTCTGACTCTATCCACTGTCCTGTCTCTAATTAAAGCATGATTTTACTGTACGTATGTTACTGATATAAGCCCCAAATATTTGCTTATCTGTCAAAGACATGGTTTGCAATCTAATTGAAGCCTTGTGTTTGGTTACAGGTAAGTGGTTCAACTATGGAATCATCTTCCTTGTGCTGATTTTGGACCTCAACATGTGGAAGAACCAGATTTTCTACAAGCCCTACGAGTACGGTCAGTATGTCGGGCCCGGTGAGAAGATCTTCACAGTGGAGGAGCCAGAAACACTCGTCCAGTTCAACCACAGCACCCTCACCTACAGGTGGCGCTCGTCCACCATCAATCCCAGCACCAACCTGACCTACGTGGAGCGGGACATGTTCCTCCACAGCCGCTACGTCGGAGCCAGCCTGGACATCAAGTGCCTGGCCTTCATCCCAAGTCTGGCTGCATTCGTCCTCTTCGGCTTCTTCATCTGGTTGTTTGGGCGATTTCAGGACAGCGAGACCTTCACCGAAAACCAAGACAAGACGTACGAGAGGATAAAGAGGAAGTCGCCATCTGAGTACAGCAAGGAGATGGGCGTGACGCCAGAGGAGATGCATTTGACAATGTGTGACAGTCTCAAACGATCTGGAAACCCCATGCTTCTCTCAGTGGATGGACCACAGTTTGGTGCGACGCCCTCTTCAAACTCCACCATTTCTATGGAAACCCAAGAGACACATCCGAGCATTGTGATTGACAGTGCACCACAGGAGGAGGAACCAGCAGTCTCTTATGATGTCAACAAGCTCTCTCCTTGAACCAAACGAACATCTGAACCTCAAAAAAAAAAAAAACTGCACACAAGTTGAAGATGTCCAGATCTTGAGGAGTGGCTTTTCCTCTGAAAACTGTTCTTGAGATTGAGGAAAGGACAAAATGATCTGTCTCGATGCTCAAGGAGGCCTGATGGCTTTTACAGTTGAATTTGTTCGAATATATTTTTGTAAAACTATATTTTCAAAAGCCTCTTAAACGGCACCAGTTCTAATAATTAACACATCTTTGAGAACAGAATGCACACTTGTAATTGACATTGTGCTCGCTCTGATTTTGCATTTTCATATCTCAATTTTGTCATGGTAAACTATACAACTTTGGTGCATATATAGAGGAGTTTTTCTACAGTTGTCACACTGCGGTTTGGTGGTTTTTATCATATCAAACCAGTGTGACAGCTACATGAGTGCCTTTGTTTTTCACATGTTCAGATACAGAACTGTCTATTATTATTATTATAGGCGACAACATGGAAGATGTCCTAGTCATTGTTACCTGTAATAATGTCTTATAAAAGCTTTCATATCATGCAGATGGTTATTACCTCATTTTATCCCCAGACTTTATGAATTTTGGTTTATTCTGTAGTTGCTTGAATTTTAATGCATAATTCCTCTCGCTTTGAAACTAATTTCAAGATCAAATGCTGGCTGATGACCTACTGGTTTTCACCCACTTGATTTTCGGAAATAATAAATGAAATCAGCAGTGGATCAAATAGCAAACCAACAAGCCACCTCGTGATTGCTCATGTGGCGGCTGCACCTTGACTGAATAGCAAACCGAGTCAGGAGGTTGGTTTTGCCCTTGGCATAAACATACCATTGAAGTGCAGGGGAGGCTCCTGCTCCAAAGCTCAGGGCTCCTTTGTGTCTAGATAAACCTTAAAAAAGTTTCAGACGCACTTTTGAAGTCATGGTAAATGCATGAAAAAAATATTTATTTATTTAAAATGTTATCTACTGTTAAAAGAAACATGATTTCGGTTGCAACTGAAAACTGCAGCATTTATCTTTCCAATGGCTTTGAAGGTTTCCACTGCCTTTTTACATAATTCCATATGTTTGGCAGACTCTTCAAAAACAATATCTGAAGTTTTTAGTCCAAACTTGGATGACCTTCAGTTCTCTTTCACAGAGTGCAGATACTAACTTCAGTATATTTATGCAGTACTAATAGTATTTTTTTTCATATAAGTTTGTCATATGGCAGTGATTTGTTTGCATAGATATTTAACCAAAGATACCAAGTCATTCAGTACTTTTCACTAAACAATATGCTACTTTTAGAACAGATATATTCACCACACAAAGACTTGAACAATATTATGCATCACTCTGTAATATAATGGACTGTAATCTACTGTACTAATGTCTTTGGAATCCCCCTCCCCCTCCCCACCTTCAAAAGTAACCTTTTTTTTTTGCTCCCTGAATTCTAAAATTCTTGCAGATGTTTGTTTAACCTGATGTGCATTCAAAGTATTGTAGCCCAAGTTGTACCAGTGTTGAGTTATAACCAAATTATGAATTGATTCATTTTAAAATTAATTTTAAATGCTGGAATTAAATTTTAAACATTTATATTTAAATACCGAAGTAAAATAATAACAAGTAAAATATTATAAAAAATGTTAATTAATGATTCATATCTTAATTCAGTCTTCTGAAGACACATTAATTATAGAATTTAAACTTGAAGTGAGTCTTTTCATTTTATTCTGGAACATGTCCGCCTGTCATAATGCATCTCTCAGTTTTTTTGCTTCATTTTTTGTATATGCAGTTTTCATTTCATGATGGCTTTAATGTAAAGAGGTTTCTCTTCAACTTGTGTGAACATGTTTTTTTGTGTTGTAATAAAAACTGCAGCAGGTAGGGTTTTCATTGGCAAGCTGCTGTCTATTGTTTGGAGGCCTGGCCAATCAGATCTCCTACCGCCTGTAGGTGGGATTACATTTTGAAGTGATTAGTCACCTAAATATCTCTAAATTAAAGAGAGATGTTTATATCCAAGCAAAAACGTAGTGTAAGCATCAAATATTTAACAGAATACATCGTAAAAAAGAATTTAGAAAAAAATATAAAATAAATATTAATTGGTAATAATTTAATGAGTTTAAATGTAACTTTATTCAATTCATAGTTGTTGTTTTTTATAATGGAATAATTTATAATTATAATTTATGATTATAATATATGTGGCGTTTCTATATTTAATATCCAGTTGCCCACTACTGACTCCTTACAGGATCTCCCTGTGTGTGTGTGTGTGTGCCTTGTGGAGGCAAAGGTATCCATTTGTGTCTACTGTATATATGAAGGATGTTTTATACCTACTGGTGCATGTTGTGTGTGTATAAATGTGTGTGTCTGCGTGCATGTGTTCACTGAAAGCTCGTAAAGTGTGTAGGTGTTTGCTGCCACATTTGTTTTTGACAAAGGCCATTCTGTGAAGAGGTCAATTTATTAAGCATAATAGCTTAGCAGCGTTTTGTTCTGTAATGATCCTTTTATACAGTTTCGCTCCGAGGACATTTGATATTAGTGTCTCATAAAAGGGCAGTACCTCTTTGGACTTTAAAGGAGGTCTAATATGTTTGGAATTTATTGTGTTTGTGTCAAATTTGAGTGTTTCCTCTTTATTGTTCATAATATTTGTATTTATTTCTGTCACAAGACAGACACTTTAATCCAGTTCCTGGGTGTTTGTGCTTTATTAAAGGAGAGTACATCTCCTGTCAGTGTTTTCTCAGTGTACTGTTTGTCTGTTTTACCTTCTTTTACCAATAAATTATTACATTTCTGATATACTCTTTTTTTGTTCTTACCATTTGTGATATTAATATCTGTTTGTTTTAACAAGCTCTCTCTTGTTATGTAATTTCCAGAGAGAAAAGTTCTGCTTTATGTTTTTTTCATACGCTTGGGAAATTGTTGCCAAGCAACAGCACAGGTCAAGCTTCTTGTAGCTACTGACCCAATTAATACAGGCAATATGAGAAATAATGATACAATGTTCACAAGGACACTTGGATATGTAGCCACCATAAATATGACACCTGGCTCAGATTAGTGTCTGCTGGTTGATTTATGCCAGTCTGCACTCTGAAAAGATTTAAATAGGCCTATGTGTGCATTTGTTATGTGTTTTGTTTCGAGGTAGGATTTTTATGAGCGATACGTGTTATCCATAGTTAGGTGCGATGTGACGGTTTAAAAATTCCTAAAACAAGTACTTAATAATCACACAAAAGATGAAATAATCATTTATTAAAATTGAATTAATTGAACAAAAACATTAAGCATTTAAACAGGTTTGTTATAATAAGTCATTAGAATTAAATTAATCAAAGATATAAGGAGCGTAAAAACTGAACATTGCTTCTCCATGTTTGGTTCTGACTGGGGACAGAAAGCAGACCTGTCCCAGACGGCCTGAGTGGTCTGGATGGTTCTTAGTCAATCAGAGGTACACTAATGTATTTTGGTCCTAAACAATTAAGCTCTTAATAAACCAGCAGCAGTATTTTAAAATCTATTCTCTGACAGACTGGGGGCCAGTGTAAAGACCTCAGAAATGAAGGTATGTCATCATTTTCTTGGTCTTGGTGAGGACTTTAGCAGCAGCATACTGAATCATGTAGTTATCAAACTGATGTTTTAGGCAGACCTGTAAAGACACTGTTACAGTAATCAAGTCAGCTGAAGATAAAAGCATGGACAAGTTTTTCCAAAAAAATGTTTCTAAAATGTTGGTGTGAGTCCATCACTACACCCAGATTTCTTGCCTGGTCGGTTTTCAATTTTACAGACTGAAGCTGCATCCTGACTCTTAATCGCTCCTACTTTGCTCAAAAACAACTCAGTTTTGTCTTTGTTTAACTACTGAAATTTTTCACATATCCACTCATTGATTTGTTCTATGATTTGACCGTGATTGTATGGGCCATTCTAATATAGATCGATGTGTCATCTGCGTAGTTATGATAACTTATTTGATTGTTTTCTATAATCTGAGCTTGAGGGAGCCTGTAGATGTTAAACAGAAGAGGCCCCAGGATGGAACCTGGTGGAACTCCACATGTATTTTTTTTGTTGCTAAGCTCTGAAGTTACCTATTGGCACAAATAAGTCTTTGTAATTTAAGTAATGTTCAAACCAGTTCATTACTATGCCAGAAATTCCCACCCTGTTTTCCAGAAGGTCAAGTAATATATTGTGTTGAACGTAGTACGCTACTGAGATTGAGAACAATTAAGACTGAGGTTCTGACACTATCCGTGTTTAAACGGATGTCATAAAACACCTTAACCAGAGCTGTCTCAGTGCTATGATTTTGTTGAAAACCTAACTGGAAGACATCAAAACAGTTGTTCAATGTTTACTGTTAAAAAGCAGCTTTATGTGGCGCTGGGGGCGCAATGGTTAGTGCACACGCCCCATGTATGGAGGCTATAGTCCTCAAAGCAGGCGGCCCAGGTGTGGCTCTTTTCCCGCATGTCATTCCCTACTCTCTCTCCCTGATTTCCAGCTCTATCCACTGTCCTATCTCTCCATTAAAGGGACAAAAAGCCCAAAAATAAACTTTTAAAAACAGCTTTATTGATTATTTTACTTGACAAAGGAAGATTTTATATAGGCCTGTAATTGTTCATTACTAACTTGTCTAGATTGTTCTTTTTTAATAGTGGCTTGATGACTTGTTTTCAGGGCCTGTGGGAAGACATCTGAGAGCTAGGAAGGACTGTTAACGGTTCAGCAGGTAAAAGAGTAACCTGTGACCATAATACCACAGGTTTAATCTCTGCAGCAGTCCATCATCAGTTGCCATGTAGCCATTATCCTGTGATACGTTATTTGATCCACAATACTGAACCCAGCATTGAACAGTGTAGAAGCAGTGCGAACACCCAAGGTCTCACTGTTTCTTCTTGTTTGTCTGGGAGAAAATATATCTCATTGCCAGAGAGTATTAGCTGTTTGACTGAAGCCTCCTCTAAGTCTGCCATTGGGCTGAGAAATTAGATATTGATTTTCGGAGGACCACGCAGTAATTGAGAGAACACATCAAAACCAGAGTTACAAAAATGTTTGTGTGGTGCTGGAACCTGATAGCCATGTTGTGTTACCTGTGTATTGACTACTTCCTCCATTTAGTGCATAAATTTGTGTTTTCATTTGTTGCTTTTGTGATTGATTGCATTTTGCTTTTAATCTAGTTTTTAACACACTTCTTTTTCCTTTTCTTTGCACTGTCTTAAGACTTTTTTTTTTTACATTTCAGGTAATTTACTGTGTCAATATTCACATATCTTTTTGCCATATATAAAAAAAAACTACAAACATGGCTTTGAAAAATATGAATTGCTGTTGCGTTGTATTTACAACTAAATATAAACCAGAAAATCCCCAAGAGAAGGCAAGCCACAGCTACAGATCAACTGGAATCTCTTTTACTGTCTTTGAGCTATCCTCCAATTAGATCACTGTATGATGTCCTGGCATGGCCCATCACTCTGTGCTGACAGCTCCGTGACTCTGGAAGACCCTGTGAAATTTATCAGTGCAGTCAGTCTCAGCCAGAGAGCAGGTCCTCCCCCTCCCAGTCCTTTCAGCAAGCCTGAGATGGTTTCTGTCCCTGATGGCCATGAGGGAAACAGAATTCATCACTGTTCCTTTCTGCAGGTTTCTGATACCTCGGATAAATCTCTCAGCACATCCAACAACTCACTTCCAGGACCAAATCCCAAGATGTGGGTTTGTGATAATGATGTCTGCTTTACTAGTCGTCTGCTGGGGAAAGTCAAACCAGTTTTATTCTGATTCTTGGTAAAACTGAAGAATTAAGCAGTGAAAATTTTAACTCACTTTGAGCTGCTGAATGGCTCTGTAGCAGCAAAACCTTAGACAGGAACAGACACTAACGTCAAAAAGTTTTTCCTTGCAATTTAAATTTTTCGATTAGTTTTTAAAAAATTGAATAAGCCCCTACACTGAAAAATAAAATCTAGCTTTCTATCCAACACATTTGAGTCAATACCATAAAAGTTATTTATCACATTGGAAACCCTTTTGAAGCAGTTTTAGTTATAAAACAGAACATTTAAACACTGCTGGATTCTTTGTTCTAGTCACAGAAACAGAACAAATTGTTTGACAGAAATCTGAGGTCAAGATCCATTCATTGTCCAGCTTTTTCAGAGCTTTTTTTGCTTGTGTGAACAAGCTCTGAATTCAAAATGTTGTTCTAATTTCTTAAGTAACCTTGAGCAAAATAATCATTTCATAATCTTTTTAAATTCTGTTAATCTCTTCATTTATGGTCTCGAAAAACAAGACAAACTTCTATTCTATAGTGTTGCCATTGGTTTTTATAATGAAAAGTGACACAAGACTGGAAAGATAAAAAATGAAAAGACCAATGATTGTAGGGACAGTCCCTAAAATTGATTTCATTGGGTTACCCCGAAGATTTGCCCCCAAAACTTCCATTAGAGAGTAAAAGGTGCAACCCTCCAACAAGCAGCTGAGCCAAAAAGAATGCCCATGCTAGCGTCTTCATGAAGCTGTACCTATAACGTTTATTCTCATATTGTTGACCATTTTTTGGCTCTATAATTTTGCAGGTATTTTTTTCTCTATAAAATAAATAAAAGACTCATGGATCGACTATTTCAATAAATCTGGGGAAATAGTGATTGAGATATTTCACAAAAAAACAATTATGGCATTCTCATGGCTGCACTGAAGAGTTAGTGACACAACGGATTCATCATCTGGGTACAAGGATTGTCTAATCATGACATCATGATGGACAGTAGTCCATTGAGTTGTTTGGACCAATTTTTTGTACCAAACCATGTTTCATTCTTACATCCACACAGAGCTTGGTTAAAAAATGACGAAGTGAATGATTCAGTTGGACAGATCATTGCAATAACTAACACATGAAAAATCAAGATCGAGCTAGGGCTATAAAGTTTTATTTGTCATTTGTCAAATTTGAATGCCGAAGTATGAAAGCATTTGTAAGAATGTCAAATTCCCCAAATTAAAATAGTACAGAAATGAGTGCAGTGTTTGCTTTCATAATTACATATATGGCAATTCAAAGTGACTCTTGTTAAGCTGTTTGTGCATTCAGTCTTTTCTGGACATTTCTGAAAGAGTTTAAAGTGTATCTAAGGCAACTTCACAGTTGTTTATTAGGGTACCTATACTTACAGCATGGAAGGTAATTGGAAAATAAAGACTTATATTTATGATCACTTTTGAACAACTCCATACTTCTGTATCCACTCTGACAGAAAAGAATCTTTCTCCACAGAGATATCTTTGACCGCACAGTGAATCCTGCAGACCAATTAGAGTCATTTGAAGAGCGGATGATCCCTAAAAATTTAATGAAAAAACTGTCATGCAGCACAAAAATATTGCAAGCTAATGCCTTTTTATCAATTTAAACTCTCGGCTAAAGTAAAACTGACTTATCCTTGTTGCTCTGCTTCACCAGCCACAATTACAATGATATGTGTGGTCATTAACAGTGAATATAGGACAGGCAGTGAAGTGGACTCCCTGTGGGTCCTGGCATCTGTTGCAGAGGGTCCAGCACTGCCATGGAAAATTGAACATTTAGGAGCCAGCTGGAGGACCAGTCTGCACTGCTGTGCCACCACTACTCAGGTGCTCACTGGCTCTACGCCACCACCAGCCAGAAGCCACTGGACCAAAGAAGGCCAGATGGTGCCCTTGCCAACCTACGAGAAGCCCACTGTCCACTGGCCATGTCCCCCCACTGCCCTCGCAT